GCCCAGAAGCCAACAGCAGAGCCTAATGCACATTCCAGGATGATCTTATTCTTGTATGTTGTCAGGTTTTTCATTGGAAAAGGAGGACTGAGTACCAGCCAAACTGTACATATTAATATTTGAATAAATGTGAGAGACACTACAGTCAATCTTTGTTGTGGATGCCCAAACCATTTCATGACATTACTACCTGGAAGTGTAGCTTTAAAGGCCATTAAAACTACTACTGTTTTTCCAAGTACACAGGAGATACACAGAACAAAGATGATCCCAAAAGCTGTGTGTCGCAGCATGCAGGACCACTCAGAGGGAGCTCCAATGAAAGTTAATGAACATAAAAAACACAGAGTCAGAGAGAAGAGCAGTAGGAAACTCAGCTCAGAGTTGTTGGCTCTGACAATAGGAGTTGTTCTGTGATGAAAGAATATAATTCCTGTAATGATGGCCAGACATGCTCCAAAAGCAGAGAATGCAGCCAGGATGATTGACAGAACTTCATCAAAGGAAAGGAACTCAACAAGTTTGAGGAAACAATGATCTTTTTCTTCATTAGGCCACAATTCTCTTGGGCATGGGAAGCAATCAGGAGAATCTAAAAATAAAATAAAATGAGAAATGGTTGTTTGTAATAAAGTTACTAAATATGCTCAATAGGCAGAAGTATTTTATTTACCTGTATTGTTACTGATCTCTCCTTCAGGACATGGTATACAATCATAGCAGCAGATGGGTTTTCCTTTCTGTAACACTTTATGAGTTCCTGGAGGACAACTCTCTGAGCAGACTGACACTGGAACCTTTAGCACAAACACAGTTGTTTTTGAAAATATGGTGATGTGCTGTATTTTAATCAGTCTTGTTTGACAAACTTGTTATCAATAAACGTTTTACTTGTAAACTACCCTCCACCCAGGTTATGTTCCTGTTGATAAGAAACTCTTGGCCCTTTGGCAGTGATGCATCATAGTATCCTATTGTTACCAGCTCTATAACTCCACTGTCACTCTTCTGCCAGTTGACCAGCTCATAAAAAGCCACAGGATCCCCATTAGTATCAAATGACACTGGATAACCATTGTGGGAAAAGTTGACAATTTTTAGTTCTGATAAAATCTAAATAAAAAGATGAGGGGAAAAAAAATATGCCCACAAAATTATTCTTGGGAAAGTCAAAAGTTACAACAGACATAATACAAATTAATTTAGTCTATTTGCATAGCACCACGTAACAATAGAAGTCATTTTATGGCAATTTACAAAAGCATTCACATACATTATAAAAGCTATTTTTTTTAAAGTTATGTGTAAGCAAGCCAGCTGAGCTGATTTTGAACACACAAAAAGATCATTATTTATTAATGAGACTGACCTGTTTCGACTCCAGTCCTGCTTGTTTCTTACACAGAGTAGTGAGATTTGTTTTCTCACACACTGCATTGTGAATGGCATGAGCTATTGCATAAACAGCCTTATACACCATGTTAGTAACTCTTAACTGAGTTGTTTCAGTGTATGGGCTTTTGAGTGTTTTTATGTCTTCATTTCCATCACATATTTTTTTGTATGGAACAGCATCTAAATGCACAGAACTTTCTGTGAGAAGAGGATTTTACAAAAATCGTATAACATCATATAGTATATATATACTATAACCCATGGCTATAGTTTTATGCATGTTGTAAAATAACAATTCAAATTTACTTGCATTTCCTGATATTATCGTCACATTTAATGATGACCTAACCTGACTTTTCAATAATTTTTCAAAAATGGATCATTTCCAACACATTTTTTTTTTCTTCAGTGTTTAATAAAAGGAATTATTGTACTCATTTTACCAATTGCACACTTTATCAATTGACAGAGAATTATTTTTATGGGGGATAAAAAATAAAAATAAAAATCTTACTTTTGTTTAATGAACAATTAAATGCATCCTCCCAGAACTCTGTAAGTAGAGAGGAGGCAGCTACTTCAGTGGGAGAGAGATCCAGCAGGAAGTCTCTCAATCCTGGGATGACAGACTTCTGAATAGCAACTCCAACAGCCCCTGCACAGAAACTGAAGCTCATCAGGTAAGAATCTGTTATCCAGCCTTCACTTCCTATCCACTGACGAGGTGGTGAAAACTCCTGAGCCAGCTCCTCTAACAGGACTCTCATGTCTGCAGAATCTAAAAAGGCCACAACAACATTTGCTGTTGACCTGAGAAGGCAGTGAAGTGGAAAATGATTTCAACTAATATCATGTTTTAACAACATTTGGTACTTAGACACTAATTATGAAAAGCACGTAGCTCTGTAATTAATACAATTTAAATTAATGGTTTGGGTTATTTTTTGCTATTCAAAATAAAACAAAACAAACAAACAATAAAAAAAAAACATTTTCAGAGAAAAGTTTCTCCATTATTTAATGGTGACTTCACTTTTTGTGAATCTTTGTTCAGTAGTTTCACATTATTGCTGTGTAACAAACAAAATCATGATATACAAACCTGCGGATAACATCAGCTACTCTCTGAATCTTGGTAGAGGAGTCAGTCCTATATAGGGATTCAGAGTACTCGACACAGATCCCTTCTTTCTGTGCTGCATTAAGAAAGGTTGTCATGCCATAATTTCCGTAATCTGAATCTGAGCGGACAGCACCAATCCAAGTCCAGCCATAGTGTTTCACCAGCTTGACCAGAGCGTCAGCTTGGAACTGATCACTGGGAATTGTTCTGAAAAATGTTGGGTACTGCTGCTTATCTGACAGGCAGGCACAGGTGGCAAAGTGACTCACCTATAGAAAAAATAAATAAAAAGATACAAAGACATGTTTCTCAGAGTAAAACAGGCAAGTTTGGGGATTATTTTTTTCTTAAATCAATTCTACTTACCTGAGGGATGTTGAAGGACCCAATGAGTCTTGACAAGCTGATGGACTGTGTTGATCCAGAGTCTCCAACTACAGCCATCACTACACCAGAATGTGAACAATTGCTGCCTTTGTAAAACACAGGGTCATGGCCGTTTGACAGTTGGAACGCCACATGAACAGACACAGGCACCGACGCACACGAGTCATAGATCTGATATCCAAGTTTGATGCCCGGCAGCAGCTTTGTGCTGTTGTTTATCTCCTCAATGGCAAAGATCAATGTTCTAGAAAAACGCAATTCCCTGGCTGTTGGACTGCTCACAATAAAGACGTGTTGAAAAATATATAAGCATGATAATAATAATATTAATAAACAAGAAAACAACAACAATAAAAAGTATAGTTTGGACAGTGAAAACAATACTGCAATTAATATGTAAACTGCATTTTTGTATAAAGTAAAAAAAAAAAAAAAAAAAAATAATAATAAAGAAATATCAATTTGCACTTATATACTCATGAATCTTTAGTGAACCATTAAATGTGTTTTAGTTAATAAACAGCATGATTGTGCTGCATTTCCAAAAATACTCCCTATTGTTGAAAAAAATTAATGACACATTTCCATGTGCTTTCAATTTGAAAATCACTTTTCTATCAATACACATATATAATATTTTACTACCACTTCTCCCTCTTACCTCCCTGTGCACTGTAAAGTCTCAGGATTTGTGGTGTAGTTATAAATTACAGATTCCGATTCATAGTGTAAACAGAAAACACCTCCAATGATAAAATCACCATTGACTGAAAATGCAGGTAAACGAGGGGGGATCTGCAGAGTACATTTCAAGGACGAAGCCTGAGTACTGACATCAGTAGTAGTTAGCGACTTGATCGGCATAGTGTTTTCGTTCACATCATCTAGTGAATCACCCAAAACAATAGTCATCACCTCCATCAGTCGCATGGCTAATATCAGGCCAGTAAAAACAGATCTGATCTCCATTCTTCAGATAGTTGGATGCAAGTGTGTTTTTTTTTCAAGTTTATGTACCTTTTCTATTAAATGTCAGGTGATCATTCCTTAGAAACATTATGCCTTCACCCAATGATATTTAATTATGTCTTTAATGACTGTGTGGTCACATTTCATCTGTGTTACTGTTTTTATCTTTAAATGCACCTCGGTGATCATTTTTTTTTCCCAGTTCTTTTTTTTTTTTTGGTCCATCTCCATGAAACAGAGGTGATCATGCAAGTGCCTCTGTGTGTGTGTCAAACTTGGCAAAAGATCTCATGAACAGTAATTTTTTTAAGCTCTCAAAAGGTAATTGTTGGATCTACATCTACAGCTGATGAACCTTTGGAACCAGTCCAATTTAAAATGACCTACACAGCTCATTGACCTCAGAAAACATAGAAATATTGATAACAGTAAGATTTACAGACATTAATCTGAACCAGTATTAGTAGTTGCTGAGAGTCATCCCAACACATAGTTTGAGTGTCAACAAAATATGCCAGATGATTTTTGGCATTCAAACCAGTGTGTGAAATGTATTCCTTCAAGGAATGTTAGTTTAATCGTCCCCTGTCACAGCACGAAATGGTGGAAATTAAAATACTGTTTGTGAATGTGAGTGTGATAACTTATAAAATAAGTGAGGTACCAATTTACATTTTGGGGTGTGACTGAATCTAGAAGTAAGAAAGGCTCCTTTCAAAAAGTGGGTTGCTATATCAAAATCCAACATGGCTGCCGCCATAATTATGTAAACCTTGAAAGCTGAATAACTTGAAAGCAAAAGTGCACCTTCCTTTTTGGTGAGTGACTGTATCTAGGAGTGAGAAAATTTCCTTTCATATAATGTGGACCTTGTAAATCCAGGCCACATCTGAGCTGGCATAACCAAATTATTAGGTCTCTCGCTCATCATTTAACCAAGGTTTCTCAAAGGTTGGCATTGGAATTCAAACCCTGAATGATCGATATTTACGCACTAAAGCCATTTGACTACAAGTTTCATCTTGTCACCCAGAGCCTTCAGTTGTTCACCTATCTAAAGAAACATGCAGAATTTATTGTGAAACACACAAAAATGCAAAGATGGAATTTATGCCTCATTTAAGTGAGCCAGATCTTGAGGATACAGTGGTCCCTCACTACTTCGCGGTTCGTTTATCGCAGACTCACTCTATTGTGGGTTTTCAAAATAAGATTGGACATTGATGTTGATGTGTTCATGCGTGCACATCTGCTCACAGACTCATGTTCATGTTTGTGCTGATGTTCAATGTTTTTATGTTATGAGTGCTTAGTGTATATTTAGTTGATGTTTTTCTTAATTCATATCTTAGATGTTTTTACTGTTTTTCTTATACATTTTATTGTTGGATGTAACTGGGACCTTGTGTACATAATTTCGCTCCACCACATGTACCACATGAGGTGCGAATGACAATAAAGAAACTCTGACTCTGACTCTGACATGACACACAACTGACTGATTGATGAATGAGCCACACGATTGGTATGGCTTTTTTATTTAAAATAAATTATTTTAAATGATTTAGCACCTGCTGAACATTTGTGCAGCCCTTACTGCAGGATAAACTTCCTGCTGCAGATGATCAACTGTTCTGTATGTGTGATCAGCTGTTCAACGTGAACAGTGGAGAAAAATGGGCGTGGTCAAGAGCGCTTGCTGGTGGCAAAGAGCAGAGGTGGCAGGGAGCTGAGTTCATGACATTCTGTGTTCTTTTAGAGCATTTAGAGTATAGAAACATAGGATTTTTTATGTTTTTTTTTTTTTTTACCTTTATTTAGACAGGTAAATCCATTGAGCCTCGAGGACTCATTTACAAACGAGACCTGATTTCAACAAAGAATGATGACAACAATGCACAACAGCGACAACAATAAACAGTTATAAAAAGTCATACAGATTTTTTTTTTTAACAAATAGGATGGCTAAAGAAAGAAAAGTAACAAAAAACAGCTAGATTATAAGGTGAATGTAGAAAACTAACAACAGGAACATGTCTGCATTGGTTCCTGCCAGGAGTCCAACAGATTTTTAAAGCCACTTAGAGAGGTCAAGGTCGAGAGCTTCAGATCTTTTTGTAAGATATTCCAGGAAACAGAAGCAGAGTAGGAGAAGGCCCTCTTGCCTAGTTCAGTCCGCACTGAGGGAACACTGCAGGTAATAATGTCCTGAGAACGCATGCTGTAGCTGCACTCATGCAGAGACATGTAGGAGGAGATGTATGAAGGCAGCAGACCAAGAAGTGATTTAAAGATGAAAATGTACCAGTGAGAGAGTGTGTGTGAAGTTAATGATGTCCAGTTAACCAGTGAATACAGGGTGCAGTGGTGGGTACGATAATCACAGCCAGTTATGAATCTTAGTGCACCATGATAGACAGCATCCAACATCTGCAGGGTTCTTGTAGGAGTGTTCATGTAAATAATGTCACCGTAATCAATGGAGGGAAGGAAGGTCACAGATACAAGGCGTTTTCTAGCATTCAGGGTTAGACAGGATCTGTTTCTGAAAAATAAACCCAGTTTAACTTTCAGTTTCTTTACCAAGTTTTCCACATGAAGCTTAAAAGAGAGATGTGAGTCGACCAAGATACCCAAATATTTATAGGAATCAACAAACTCAATCGAGACATCATTTGAGCATAAAATCTAAGGAAGAACTGCTGGGACCAACTTCCTATTTGAAAAAAGCTTCCCTTTGGTTTTGTCGGCATTTAGGACAAGCTTGAGGTGGAACAAATCTGTCTGGATGTAGTTAAATGCAGATTTCAAAAGCTGAAAAGCCTTATCAACTGTTTTAGCTTGACAATAAACAACTGTGTTGTCAGCATGGAAGCGTATGGATACATCAGGGATGTTTTTACCTACATTATGTATGTAGATTGTAAAGAGGATGGGAACTTTGTTACCTTGATCTGCTTTGGCTGTGGCTGCCTGCCTGGAAGGAATCGACGGGACAGGACAGCCCCCAGAAACTATCTTAGCTCCAGCAAACTAATTGGACCACTTAAGGAGTTTACTGCTTGGTGGTTAAACAATTTATTGGAACTACTTAGACTGATGAAGCCCTCCGGATAGAGGGCGAAACATCTTTATAAAAATTAAAAAAAGAAACTGTCCAGATGACCTAACTGAGAATTATTGGATTTGATACCTGGATGATTGAGCATGAACTTTGTTACTTGTATTAATATTTCTACTTTGTGGTTTTTCACTTATTATTCATTCAATCTTTATTTAGACAGGTAAATCCATTGAGCCTCGAGGACTCATTTACAAGAGAGACCTGATTTCAACTAAGAAAGATGACACCGATGGACAACAGCGACAACAATAGACAAGTATAAAAGATGGCAAAAAAAGTAGCAAAAACAGCTAGATTACAAGGCGAATGTAGAAAACTAAAAATAGGAACTTGCAACATTATCGCGGGTCTTCATGGTATGGATCCCCTGCGATAAACGAGGGACTACTGTACATTCCATTTAATGAGATGTTCAGTGGAGCCAGTCTTGTGAACCATTATTGAAATGGTACAACCATTGATGTATTGTACTTTTACGTCACTACATCTGCAATTATGTGTGCTTGTGTTAGAGAAAATCTATCTCACTAAAGTTTAAAAAAGTTAAATCTGGTCCTCTGGACATTCAAAAAAACAAAACAAAGCAAAACAACAAAAAAATGTAGAAACGTTTCGTCTCTCATCCGAGAGATTTCCTCAGTCTGAGGTGCTGTATTCAGCTCAGTCTCTTAAATAGCACCTTCTCAGAGTGGATCAACCAGTTTTGCTGCTGACAACCAAAACCAGCTGATCACATGCTCAAGAAGGACCATCAGCCTAACAATGGATCATTAGCACACTGATGGCTGTTTACTGTTCACAGAGGGTTGAGTGATACTAGCAATCACAGCATTGTAAGAGGGGGACAGTTGAACCCGGAGGCCTCCACCCCTGTTTAACGATGGACGATTTCTTTGCACAAAGATGGCCTCCTTTACTCCTCTCTCAAACCATCGTCCCTCTCTATCCAGGATGTGCACATCTTCATCCCTGAAAGAGTGACCGCTGGCCTGGAGATGAGTGTAGACCGCAGAGTCCTGGCCTGATGATGTTGATCTTCTGTGCTGGGCCATCCTTTTTGGCCAGTGGCTGTTTTGTTTCCCCGATGTAAGACTGATCACAGCCCTCCTGACACTGAACAGCATACACAACATTACTCTGTTTGTGCCGGGGGACTGGATCTTTGTGATGAACCAGTCTTTGCCGTAATGTATTTTGGGGTTTAAAAGCCACTGGGACGTTATGTTTAAAAAATAAATGTCTCAGTTTCTCTGATACTCCCTCAACATATGGAATGACCACTGGTCTGGGTCTGGGTTCCTCCTTTTCACCTGTTGGCTGACTGGAGTCCTGTTTGGGTTTCTTCTCTGCTTTTAGGAAGGCCCAGTTAGGATATCCACATTGCTCTAGAGCCTGTTTTGTGTGGGATTTCTCCTTCTGCCTGGCTCCTGAGCTAGTGGGGACGCTGTCTGCTTTGTGATACAGAGTCCTGATGACTCCTAACTTGTCTTCCAAAGGGTGATGGGAGTCAAACTGCAAATACTGGTCTGTGTGGGTGGGTTTGCGGTACACCTCAGTTTGCAAATGTCCTCTATCAGAGACTGAGTCCTCACAGTCCAGTCTTTGTTTTGTTTTTTTGAATGTCCAGAGGACCAGATTTAACTTTTTTAGATTTTTCTACCTGGATTATTGAGCATGCATCAGGATATCTCGCTAAAGTTGTTTATCCAAATAAACCACATTTAATGGCAGGACAAGATATTTAACTGATATTTTACTTGCAAGGACCCATTCAGGACTGATTACATATATGGATACATAATGCATATGAATGGAACATGAAGAAAGAAAGATCACATAAATAAAATTAACATGAGCTGAAATGTGTAGGATTTCTTTGATTCATTGATTGATCATTTACAAAAAAAAAAAAAAAAAAAAAAAAAAAAATTAGGGTTTCTGTACTAAATGTAAAAAATATATATTTTGTTTTCAAATGCTTGAAAAGTTTCTATTATTTTTTGTTCATTACGTATTTCTTGGTGTTCTTTGCGGGCTGAAATATTATGATGAAACACTTTGGAGCAAATATACACAGTAACATTCCGAAACTGGAGGCCAGAATTGCAAATATCTCCACAGCCACAGTAAACTTTCCAGGAGAGCTGACATATGCTGGGATGAAGGTGATCCACACTGCACAGAAGATCAGCATGCTGAAGGTTATCAGCTTGGCTTCATTAAAATTATCAGGTAGTTTTCGAGCTAGAACAGCTAACACAAAGCAAAAAACAGCCAGCAGACCAATGTACCCGAGCACAGCCCAGAAGCCAACAGCAGAGCCTAATGCACATTCCAGGATGATCTTCTCCTTGTATGTGCCTAGATTTTCCATTGGGAAAGGAGGACTGAGTATCAACCAAACAGTGCAGATTAAAATTTGAATAAATGTGAAAAACATTACAGTCATTTTTTGTTGTGGATGCCCAAACCATTTCATGGCATTACTACCTGGAAGTGTAGCTTTAAAAGCCATTAAAACCACTACAGTTTTTCCAAGAACACAGGAGATACAAAGAACAAAGGTGATACCAAAAGCTGTGTGCCGCAGCATGCAGGACCACTCAGAGGGAGCTCCGATGAAAGTTAATGAACATAAAAAACACAGAGTCAGAGAGAAGAGTAGCAGGAAGCTCAGCTCAGAGTTGTTGGCTCTGACAATTGGAGTTGTTCTTTGACAAAAGAAAATAATTCCTGTAATGATGGCCAGACAGGCTCCAAAAACAGAGAATGCTGCCAGGATGATTGACAGGTCGTCATCAAAGGACAGAAACTCAATAAGTTTAGGGAAACAAGTATCTTTTTCCGTATTAGGCCAGCATTCTATGGGGCATGGAAAGCAATCAGGAGAATCTGTAAACGCAATGAAGAAAAAAAATAGAATAAAAAAGGATTAAAAAAAGAATGTTAGCACTTAGTTATTCAATGATAATTAATTGCATACAATAATAATATTAACCTGTTGTATTACTGATCTCTCCTTCAGGACATGGTATACAATCATAACAGCAGATGGGTTTTCCTTTCTGCAACACTTTATGAGTTCCTGGAGGACAACTCTCAGAGCACACTGACACTGGAACCTGTCACAGACACAGCCAAGACATTAATTGTTTTTATTTTTAACCTGATACTTTTATGCTGCATTTTATTTTATTATTATTTTCAATATTAATAACATTAGTCTCACTACTTGCGTGCCACCTTCCACCCAGGTTATGTTCCTGTTTATCTGAAACTCCTGGCCTTTTGGCAGTGAGGCATCATAATATCCTACTGTTACCAACTTAATAACTCCACTGTCACTTGTCTGCCAGTTGACAAGTTCATAAAAAGCCACTGGATCCCCATTAGCATCAAATGACACAGGATAACCATTCTGGGAAAACTTGACTTTTCTGAGTTCAGTTAAAACCTTAAAAAATGTAACAGATTTCGCAGAGTTCATTTGCTGCTTAATGTCTTAATAGTCAACAACTACACTCAGATCATCCCTATGCCACCTTTTTTTGTAACTGACCTGTTTGTTTTCCAGTCTGACATTTCTGTCACACTCAGTGGTGAAATGTGTTTCTTTACACACAGCATTGTGAACGGCATGAGCTATTGCATACACAGCCTTGTACACCATGTTAGTAATCCTTAGTTGAGATGTGTCAGTGTATGGGCTTTTGAGGGCTTTTAAGTCTTCTGTATGATCACACACTCTCTTGCCTGTATCATTATCTGAAGATACATAAAAATAGAGGAGAATTGTCTTCCCATCACAACTACATTGTACAAATAAATATATATTTATGTATTCAAAACCATAAGTCAACTCATAAAATGCAAAATACAGATTACATTAGATCATAGTTCTGCTAGTGCTTAGTACTGTTGCACTATGTGGAAATGTTACTGAACTAATCAGCAATTAAAAAAAAAAAAAATGAAGCAATTAAAAAATCTGTTCATTTAACAAGAATTTAGAAGTGAAATTTACATAGTGCATAAAATTAGTTGCAACTAATTCCTCAGAACACAGCTAAGAAAGCCTGGCTGTGGGTTAAAAAATAAAATAAAATTAAAGGCCTCACTTTTTGTCAGTGTACAGTTGAATGCATCTTCCCAGAACTCAGTAAGCACAGAGGAGGCAGCTACTTCAGTGGGAGAGAGATCAAGCAGAAAGTCTCTGAGTCCTGGGATGACCGACTGCTGAATGGCAACTCCAATGGCTCCTGCACAGAAATTAAATCTCAGAAAGTTTGGGTCTGTTATCCAACCCTCACTTCCTATCCATTGACGTGGTGGTGGAGGCTCCAGAGCCAGTTCCTCCAACAGTACTCTCATATCTCCAGATGCTATAAATGCCACAACAACCACTGCTGTAGATCTGCAGAAACATAAAATTGTTTTAATTCATATTTACTTCCATCCATTCGTCCATTATCTATACCCACTTCTTTCCTTTATGGGTCGTGGTGTTCACTGGTGCTCATATCCAGCAGTCACAGTGTGAGAGGCAGGGTACAGCTTAAACTATATTTTTAAATATATGTCATTTATTCCATCATTTTTTTAAAAGTGCAGACACATAAAAAATGTGGAGTATCCTATTTGTTATCTTGTGAAAATTTAAGCAGTATTTTTTAAACCATTTAATTCCTTTTAGTATTAAACACAGTGATGGACTTGCAACTTGTTAAGGGTGTACCCCGCCCCTCGCACAGTGATTGCTGGACATGGGCACCGGTGACCCACGTGACCCAAAATGGAAGAAGTGGGTAAAAGATAATGGATGGATGGATGGATGGATAGTATTAAACATTTTTAGTTTTCATTCACAACAATATAAGAAAAAAGATAAACCTGCGGATAACATCTGCCACTCTCTTGATCTTGCCTTGTGGGTCGGTCCGAAAGAATGACTCAGAGTACTCCACACAAATTCCCTCTCTCTGTGCTGCATTAAGAAAAGATGCCATACCGTTATTTCCGTAATCTGAGTCAGAGCGAACAGCACCTATCCAAGTCCAGCCAAAGTGTTTCACCAGCTTGGCCAAAGCATCAGCTTGGAACTGATCACTGGGAATTGTTCTGAAAAATGCTGGATGCCGCTGTTTATCTGACAGGCAGGCACAAGTGGCAAAGTGGCTCACCTAAAGAAACAAAAACAATAAAGTATCTTTTAATTTGTCAAAGGAAAACATTACCACTGTTTGTTTTTTTCTTAGACTTTTGCAATGATTTTAGTCTACTTACAAGAGGGATGTTGAAGGATCCTATAATGCTTGACACGCTCATTGATGGTGTTGATGCAGAGTCGCCCACAGCAGCCATCACCACACCAGATTGTGAGCAGTTTCTGTTTTTATAAAACTCAGGATCTTGACCGTTTGATAGTTGAAATGCTACATGCACAGCCACGGGCACAGAGGCACATGAGTCATAGATTTTATATCCAAGTTTGATGCCTGGCAGCAGCTTTGTGCTTTTATTTATCTCATCCACAGCAAAAATCATTGCTCGAGAAAACCGCAGTTCCCGGGCTATAAGGCTGCAGAGAATCAACATAAGGGAAATTTTGACATTTACATAAAATAAACAAAATAAAATCTTTACATCAACATGTGAAATATAGATGAGCATTTAAACAATCAAATTTTAAAAATCTGCAGATGAATGACTATATATGATTTATTATACGACCGTGCATATAATGTGTAAAATAAAAATGGAATTGGTTGAAATCAAACAGCTAAATAACAATGTAAAACAAAAACACAACTAATAAATCCAAAGTGCACAGAGTGAGTTTAGAAACATACATATTGATAAAATAACACACATATTTTTTACTTTAAAAAATTATAATAAAAATAATAACATCAAATCTAAGTTTCCAGCAAAACACGTTTGCATTCATGCACATCTAACATTCTTTTCCATCTCTTTTTTTTTACTAACCTCCCTGCGCACATTAAAATCTCAGGCTTGCTGTTGTAATCATAAGTCCCTGTGCGCACTTTGTAGTGAATAGAGAAAACACCTCCGATTACAAAGTCGCCATCAGTTGAGAACGCAGGTAAACGAGGAGTACTCTGCAGAGTACACTTGATCAGTGAAGTCTCAGTACTGACACCAGCACCAGTCAAAGCCTTTATAGGTTCAATCCTTTGTTTGAGACCATCCAGACAACCAACCAAGACAACAGTTGTTATCACCTTGAGCGAACTCATAGCTACTGGTAATCTCAGGCCAATATCAACATGTTTGATTTTCATTTCTTAACTGTGTTTGGGACTAAGTGCGCTTTTCCTTTGAACCTTGTCTATTATATCAGTGAGGTTGTCTTCCATTAGCAATGAAATGCTTTAACCCCATGAGTTTTAATTACATCATTCAATGTCTCTACAATACCTAATTTCCTCTCCCTCATTCTCTGTTTTTCCTATTACATATTATCTGTTTGAATCTTGTTGATCAATAATATACATTTTTCTGTTGTTCTTTAATACAAAGTATTAATTTTAAGCTTAAACCAAACGTGTGCCTATTTTTTTTTTTTCTCCTCTGGCTCTCACTCAAGATGGGCGCTTCTGCTCTCCCTCCCCCTGTTCTCCTCTTCCTCCTGCTTTTGCTCTCTGTGTGTCTTGGATCTCCTGGTACACATCTTCTGAATGAAAAAATACTATTATGGATCTGGTGAGCTGGACTTTCAACGCAAGACAAAATCGTTTCAACAAATCGACATGGTCCTGGAGAATCCTTTTGTCCGGCTGAGACTCATGCTGCAGGTTACATCAGAGATCCGTGGAGAGTTTGGCAGCTGATGTGTCTCTCAGTTCTGTTTCAGGAGGACGCTGAAGACGTTTATATATTTGGATATGAAGAAGACTCTTAATGCAGATCAGTGGAGTGAAATACCCATAAATCTGGCCATTTTGGATGGGGAAAGTTCCAACAGGACTCAAGGCTGACAAGAAAAAAAAAGCAGTCTGCCCGAAGAAAATCAACAATTGTGGCTTATCTGAATCTGACTTCCCCGTTTGGCCTCGGATATGAGCCCACTATCAAATTTGTCCTGGGACATGTGTAACTAGGGAAAAAGCTTAATCTATCGCAATCCCCATCCCCCTTAAAAACTTCTGTTCAGGCTTATCAGAACTGCCGGCTAAACAACATCAGGAGTGTGGCCTATCGTCAAATGATGTTTATAATCATGATGATGATGATGTTTGAAATCATGTTTATAATGTGCTTACTGGTAGAGTTTATTGATGTCTCAAATTGTGTCCTGATAAGACGAGATGTGAAGATACAGTTTTTGTAATACCATTATCCATCCTCATAGCACTTACCTTTTTCTATCTAAAAGTATTCAGATAAAGAAAAGGGGCCACGCTATTATAGCAGCAGCAACGTGCACTACGCCCATTTTTCAGACGACTCTATGAACATAATTTCACTCTATCCTTTTACAATGACAATAAAGTTTATTCTGATTCTGATTTTTTTTTAATTGTTTTTTTTTATGATGATGCTTTCGATGACTTGGCATTACGTAAATGCAATTTTTAAATATGCGACAATTTGATTTGAATTGAGTGCACTGGTTTATTGGAAGTAAACTTGATAAAATGAGTTGTATTTTATTACATTTAGTTGAATGTGAATGTGGTTGACTGTTTTTAATTTGTTCATTTTTCATATCCAATGCCTATTAGGTGCTCTATACTGGTCCTTTCATCACTGTCCACAATGTTTTAGATGTCACACTGGTTCTAAAATTTTACTTGTGGCTGTTCTAAAATGGTAATCAAAAATTATATAAATGGAGATAGCTCAATGTGTTCTGACCTATACAGTGATTGACTAGTTTCTATAGCTGAAAGTATGTTAGGCGAGCCGATGTGCCCTGTTGGCACGCATGTAGCTGGATATCTCATCGACTTGGAAGACTTGATGATGTGTCTATCTCTGCTGCCATTTGTGGATTTTAAGGATGCATATTTAATTGGATTTACAATAACTGGTTCCTACATTTTGGATTCGGCTGGTTATTGGTTTCATCAACAATCAAGGAAGTTATCGGCAGCAAATTGGGACCCGATCACGCTGCTTGCCTTTATGTCTTGGTTCATGCCTCGAGTACCCAGACTCAAATGCTTTTGGCAGAATGGATCAGATTGCGGGGATTTTATTCAGTCACGTTCCATCGGTGTGGCCATGTAATTTGGACATTTCAGAACCGTTTGGACCAACACAGACTCAAGGTAGATGTCATTAAGTTCTGCCTGTCCCCAAAACAAATGTGTGTTTATCTGAATTTGGCTCCCTTGGCTTGCCTTGAAGGCCACCTTATCTGAATTTGCCTGGAGAACATGTGATCTGACGCTCACCACCCCCCTCCCTGAGGAATTACCAACTGATAACCAGATGAAACAAGATGAATAAACATTGTTGTCATCATTTCAGGACTCTTCGATTTTCATAGGCATTATCCTTGACAATTCCCCGAAATCCCTCGAGAATGTTTACAGATCTCACCGGAGGACACTGGCTGATAATTCCATCCTTATCAGAACTCTTACAGTGCCCTCGAGAGCGTCTATGGAAATTGCTCACCGCTCTTGTCATCTTCCCCCCCCCCCCCCGCAGAATGTCTTTGTCACTATGTGCTTGTTTGTGCAAGGTGTTTTTTTAATATTAGAGTTTTTCTTCTCAGGCAAGAAGAAAAAGTCTGATGGGAATTGTTTCGCCTCCAATTTCTACATGTGTCCAGTTTCATTACTTTTTGTCTGTCTAAACATATCTCACTTGTAAATGAGTCTTTTAGGCTCAATGTGACTTATCTGTCTACATAAAAATTGAAGGAGGGTCCTCCTTACCCTGACTCCTGTCAGGAGAAGTTGATCAAGTTTGTTGAGAGACCAGGTGATCAAATCCTTCGAATTAGGAAGGTATGCAGGAAAAAAAGAGGCCATATAAGGGTTCACAAGACAAGAGAGCTAAACAGGGAAATGGGGGGGATGGAGCACAGGAGGACACGTCTGCTTCCACTGCAGCAAAGAGAGAAAAAAGGTCTAGACTCGGAAAAATCTGCAGGACCAGCTGAACTTCTACCTTATTTCTTAAGGCTGGCCGCTCATATCATTGCAGTACTGGTGTTCCACATCTTTAACGTGTCCATAAGCCAAAACTCCATTCCAGATGCTTGGCAAACAGACTTTGTTCTACCTTTGCTGAAGGGAGTTGACCCCATCTCACTGAACAATTATCAACCAATCTCTAAACTCTGTACTTTAGCCAAGGTTCTAGAAAAACTGAAAAACTCTCAAATCAAAAATTATCTGGACTCATTTAACTTCCTACCTCTCCATATATCTGGTTTCAGGAAACAACAGTACAGCGACTGCTTCACTGAAGGTTTTTAATGACATTGTTGAAGCACTGGATGCTAAGCTATTTAAAGCTATTGGCAATGTGGATCGTGACATCTTATATCATAAACTCTCAGAAATTGGTTTCTCAGATCATACCATTGGTTGGTTATCTAACTATCTTTAAAATCTGAGGCAATTTGTTCAACATAATTGTATTTCCTCCAGTTATTTAACAGTCAACAATGGTGTACCGCAAGGCTCTGTCTTTGGATCCACCTTCTTTACAATCTACATAGGTGATGTAGGTCATAGCATCCCTGATGCATCCTTACATTTCTATGCTGGTGACACAGTTGTTTATTGTCTAGCTAAAATAGTTGCTAAGGCTTTCTAGTCTTTGCAATCCTCTTTCAACATCATCCAGTTAGATTTGTTCCATCTCAAACTTGTCCTAAATGCTGACAAAACCAAAGGGATGTTTTTTTTTCAATCAGGAAGTCAGTCCCAACAGTTCTTCCTCTGATTTCATGTTCTAATGGTGTCCCTATTGAGTGTGTTGATTCCTACAAATATTTGGGTATCTTGGTCAATTCACTTTTTTTTCAGCTTCAAGTGCATGAAAACCTAGTAAGGAAACTGAAAGGTTTTTTTTTTTTTCAGAAACATATCCTGTTTAACTCTGTATGTTAGGGAACGCCTTGTAACTGTGACTTTCCTTCCCTCCATTGATTATGCAGATAGTATTTACATGAAAGCTCCTACAAGCACCCTGCAGTTGTTTGATGCTGCCTATCATGGTGTTCTAAGATTCATAACTGGCTGTAACTATCGTACCCACCATTGCAACCTGTATTCACTGGTAAACTGGTCATCATTAACTTCACACAGACTCTCTCACTGGTACATTTTCATATTTAAATCAATTCTTGGTCTGTTGCCTTCATATATCTCCCCCTACATGTCTTAGCGTGAGTGCAGCTATAGTGTGCACTCTCAGGACATTATTACATGCAGTGTTCCCTCAATGAGAACTGAATTAGGCAATAGTGTCATGATCAGTGATCTCTGCTTGCCCCATCTGCTCAAGTCTCTGTCCCTTTTATGCCTTTATCACTTCCTCTGTCCCCTACCTCACTCACAGCCCCTCATGTCATGTTTCTGCTCCTCTTTGTCATGTGTTGTTTTCCCCTGCCTCTTCATGCCATGTTTTCTTCTGCCATTCAGCCACGCCACCGTCTGCACTTTCAGCTCATCAGCCCTGATTCATTGCACCTGTTTTTGGCCTTATTTAAGAGCTCCACTTTCACTTGCCCTTTGCCAGATTATTAGACCACTCACGGTCCCTGAGTTTCCAGTCGTCATAGTTTTCTTTTTTCATGCCTAAACCTCAAGCCTTGTTACTGGATTTTCGACCTCACACCTTGTCTTCTGGTTTTCATATTTTTGCCTGCCCCTCTACTTGTTCTGCACTGCCTCTCTGATCACGGTAACAACCTCCTCTTCTGTCTCTATGACCACAACTCACGGAGCACCCTTTTTGAATTATTCGTGCACCACTGACTCCCAGTGCTTGACCCCTGCTTTGCCCTTTGGATCACAAACCTGCATTGCCCTGCTGTTCACAGCATTAAAAGCCTCCCTCTGCAGCTTCCTTCCCAACAGTTTAAGTGACTTCATCTCTCTAAACTCTGACAGGTGGTTCTCACCCCACCTGCCTGTGAAGACCTGTTACTGCAATTGGATCCTGAGTCTCCCCAGCAGCTGCAAATCAACCAATAAAACTGTTTTCCTTGTTTTACATTCTTGTTGTCTGGCTGAGTTTGAATACTAAAACCTTGCTCTGTCACAAAAAGGGCCTTCTCCTACTCTGCTCCTGTTTCCTGGAATATCTTGTAAAAAGATGGGAAGCTCTCGACCTTGACCTCTCTAAATGGCTTTAAAAATCTGCTAAGTTCCTGGCAAAAACCAATGCAGACATTTTCCTGATTTTAGTATTCTACACAGCCTTACAATCTAGCTGTTGTTTTTTTTTTTTCACTACTGTTCCTTTTAATTACCATTTTATTTTCATTTTTTGAAAGAAAAAAAAATTGTACGCATCCTTTATGATTGTCTATTGTTGACGTTGTCCACTGTTGTCATCACTCTTTGTTAAAATTCAAGTCTCTCTTGTAAATGAGTACCTGTGGATCAATGGGATTAACCTGTATAAATAAAGGTTGAATGAATGAATAATCTGGGAGTCTTGTTCAAGAGTAATGAAATAATTGTCTGATAAACATGGATCAAATAATAGTTTTGGTACAATCTTTTGTGAAAGAGCTGAGCCATTTGGCAAAGCACCTTATTTTCTGATCATTTATCCCCTAAGCTGCACATAGTCAGTGTCATTTTGCTAAGTAATGAGTAGTTTTAACCCAGCATTTGGAGCTCCAAAAATGAAAGAGACTCAAAGACAAAGTATTTAAAAAGTGAGTTTATTTACAGATGCTGTTAAGGGACAAGGAGCCAAGGATCTGTAGAAAATGGGATAAGGTAATAAGGTAGGATAAGGTAAGAATACTTATTTATAAAATTGTAAGTTTCATAAAGAATATTTTTGTCAGACTGAAGGATAGGCTCTTCCCATGGGTGTGCTCCTTTCAGGCTCAGAGAAGAAATGCATATGATTCCAGAGCCAGACAGGATGACTAGAGATTTCCAAATGCTGAGTGGTTCACAAGAGCGAGTGACAGGTTGGGCCACAAGTTGGAATTTCCAAAATTTCTATTACAGGCATGGATGTGTAGAGCTCTTGAGATCCAGACTGCACTTAGTGTGACTCAGAGAAATAAAGACTCAGGAAGATCAGACAAAAATACTGGAGGTATGTAGTCATGGATTATGAACTTAAATATCACACATTAAAATGACGAGTTACAATTTAGCTTCATTACAAAAAACAAAATCACAAAGGCTGTAGGCTAGAACATCTGTAGTGCAACCAACAATCCACTAATGGATCATGGACAGGCTTCTGCTTTTATGCTGGGTAGTACTCATCAGTCTTTTGGCTGTAGCTGTGCCTGACAAGCTTCACCTGTCACCCAATAGCTGCAGAGTATATGATTAGTGGAAACTGGCAGGTATACAGGAACTGGAATCCTCACAGTCAGGATCTAACCACATGGGGCCTCAGATACAAAGACTTATGTGGATTTCCTACTGAAACATGCTGTACACTTAAATTGAAAAAACAGTGTATATATCCAGTTGTATGAAAAAGGGCATGCTGGAACGACTACTTTTCTCAGCTGGCCTGGGAACACCTTGAGAGTCCTCTGGAGGAGCTGGCCAAAGTGGCTGGGGAGAGGAAAGTCTGGGCCTACCTACTTAGGTTGCTACCCCTGTGACCCGACACCGGATAAGTGGGAGAAAATGGATGAATGGATGAATGGATAGATGGATAGATCGTGTTGTTATGAAAGTTGTTCAAACAACCAGTGACCCCATCCCTTAACCAATCACTGACCGACAGTCTTCTGATGTCACATTTTCAGGCCAGCACGGTACACTTGGAACCACAGCAAAGTTGATTCTGAAAAAGGGACTGGTTTCCCAAATCATGACTAGTGGAAGAGTCTTGGAACCGTGCAGAGCCAAGTCGAACCATGCCGTAGAGGCACTAGTGGAAAAGGGCCATATGTTACCCCATAAATATTCTGTATGTTACTGTGTTGCCTTGTTAGTAGCCTGTATGTTACCCCGCAAGTTCCATGCAACTGTATGTTACTCCATAAATATACTGTATCTGTTACCCCATAAATACCCTATATGTTACCCTCTAGGGTACCTTGTAAGAAGCTTGTATATTACACTGTATGTTACCCAATAAGTAGTCTGTATGTTACCCTGTAGGTTAACCTGTAAATACCCTGTAAGTTACACAGTTAATGCACTGTATATTATCCTGTAAGTCCAGGGTACATGTCAGATATGTATTAGGCTGTATTATGTATTACTACCAAAGCAACTGATATGTCTTTGAAGCTAAAATGTTTAATTTCAAAAGATAAAAAGAAACCATGTAGTGAAAAGAATGTACGAAGACTTATTAAACAATGTTTTAAAAAAATCAGTGGGAGGGAGTATTGTATTTCTAATGAACGATCGGCTGACGCATAACAGAGTAGGTACATAAACTAGTCAAAACACACTTCGACCCAAATACAGACAATGAACAGAGATTAGATTGTTTGGTTTTGGCCTGATATTAGTTATGACTTTGTTTCAAATGATCATAGTTGTTGTCTTTGTTGTTTCTCTAGATGGTCTGAACCAAAGGATTGAGCCTATAGAGACAATGACTGTTGCTGGTGAAGGTATGGAGAATGTATTGACAAAATGTACTCTGCAGAGTTCCCCTCATTTGCCTGCATTTTCAATGGATGGGGACTTTGTTATTGGAGGTGTTTTTTCTTTACACTACAAACAGCTCACAGTGATTTATAACTACACCACCAAGCCTGAACCTTCAAGATGCACAGGAAGGTAAGCAAGAGGAAGAAGTGGCAAAAATGTGTACAAATTATCTGCTTTGCTGCAAGATTTGCTTTCTTTTTATAAAATGTGTATTTTTAACAATTATTTTGCAACATGCATTTTTGGTTGTATTTATTAACTAAACACATTAGTGGTACCTATTTGATTTATTATGAATTTATTTAAATTTCAGCACTCATTCATTATGCGCAGCCTTTTTTTTTCCCATTATAATGTGAACATCTCTCTTTACAATTTCTGTGCAGTCTTATACCTCGAGAACTACGTTTTACTCGTGCAATGATGTTTGCTGTTGAGGAGATAAACAACAGCACAGAGTTGCTGCCAGACATAAAAATTGGATATCATATCTATGACACATGCACTTCAGTGCCCATGGCCATGCATGTGGCATTTTTATTAGCAAACGGCCAGGACCCTGTGTTTTACAAAGGCAACATTTGTTCCCAGTCTGGTGTGGTGTTGGCAGCTGTTGGAGACTCTGCTTCATCACCGTCAATCACCATTTCCCGCATCTTAGGGTCCTTCAACATCCCTCTGGTAATTAGTCTATTCTTTTTTTTTTCTAAGATGATCAAATATACTTGAAATCATTGTTAATAAAGGATGTTTGCATTTTTTAGGTGAGTCACTTTGCAAGTTGTGTCTGCTTGTCAAATAAGCAGCAATTTCCAACTTTTTTTAGAACAGTTCCCAGTGATCAGTTCCAAGCTGACGTGCTGGTGAACCTGGTGAAACATTTTGGCTGGACTTGGATAGGGGCTGTCTACTCAGACTCAGATTATGGAAATTATGGCATGGGGTCTTTTCTTAAAGCAGCACAGACAGAAGGAATTTGTGTGGAGTACTCTGAATCTTTCTTCTGGACTGACCCACACAGCAAGATCCGGAGAGTAGCAGATGTTATCCGCAGGTTTCTACACCACTCATTTGTCTTTTTTTCCTGTATCGACATGGAAGAACTGCTGACTGCTAAAAAATAAAGTTTTAACCGGTTAAAATCTTCCTCATTAAAAATGTTTATTTTCACATATTTTCCACATACATTATTGCACAAATTGCCAACATTTATGATTTACAGATCTACATCTTTTTCCAAGTTATGGGCTAAATAAAATGAATGTGATAAAAATCTGCTATTGAGTAGTATGAGTCAACACCCATCAATGTCTCTCCAGGTCAACAGCAATGGTAGTTGTGGCGTATATAGCCCCATCAGAAGTGAGGGTCCTATTTGAGGAACTTGCTCGTGAGCCTCCATCACCTCGTCAGTGGATAGGAAGTGAGGGCTGGATTATTGACCTAGATTTGATGAGCTTCAGTTTCTGTGCAGGAGCCATCGGAGTTGGCATTCAGCAATCTCTCATCCCAGGTCTGAGAGACTTTCTATTGGATCTGTCTCCCACTGAGGTAGCTGCGTCCTCAGTGCTTACTGAGTTCTGGGAGGATGCATTCAAGTGTACACTGACAGAAAGTGAGAAGGTTTTCATATGTGTTTTATATATTTTAAAAACATTTCCCAGATTTTTTTTATATGCTGCTGTTCCCTAGCGCTGTATTGAGCAAATACAGCCTGACACCTTATTAACAGCTAAAACTAAAACAATATTGACATTTGCTGCGTTTCTAAAAAAAAAAAAAAAAGAAAAAGATGCCTTAGATTGTGTTCATACAAAGTGATAATTATATCAGTTAACATAAATGAAAAGTTCAGAAATACGCACTAATCTACAGCTTTGCAACCATATCAGTTTTATTCAGTTTACCTACTGGGTCTCTTATTTTTCTTTTAGATGTTGATCCAGAAAGGAAAGTGTGTGATGGAACTGAAGACATAACAATACTCACATCTCCGTACACTGAAACATCTCAGTTAAGAGTTACGAACATGGTGTACAAGGCTGTTTATGCAATAGCTCATGCCATTCACAATGCAGTATGTAAGGAAACAAAAACTACTACTATGTGTGATAAACACATCAAACTGGAATCAAAACAGGTCAGTTAAAAAAAAAAAAAAGTGAATTTCAGAGGTTTTGTTAGACATTAAGTTACATACTTTTATATTGACATTATTTGCCTGGCATAGTTTTCTTTTCAATTTGTTAAAGGTTTTATCTGAACTTAAAAATGTAAACTTTTCCCGAAATGGTTATCCTGTGTCATTTGATGCAAATGGGGATCCTGTGCCTTTTTATGAGCTGGTCAACTGGCAGAAGAATGAGAATGGAGTTATCAAGCTGGTAACAGTGGGATACTATGATGGATCACTTCCAAAAGGGCAGGAGTTACATATCAACAGGAACATAACATGGGTCCAAGGTGGCACACAAGTAAGGAGTTAATGAGAATGAATGGGGGGACTGGTAAATAGCAATTACACTGTAAAAAGTAAAACATTTTAAAAGCACAAACACCAAAATAGATTGCTCTATTTGTATGTCTGTGTGGCAGGTACCAGAATCATTATGCACTCAAAGTTGTCCTGCAGGTACTCATAAAGTGTTGCAGAAAGGAAAACCCATCTGCTGCTTTGACTGCATTCAATGTCCTGAAGGAGAGATCAGTAATAAAACAGGTATCAGATGTTTTTATTTTTTTTGCATGCATATTTGCATCAATACATACATTAAAGCTAATAGTGAAATCTGATTTTTTTTTAGATTCTCCTGACTGTTTCCCATGTCCCAGTGAATTTTGGCCTAATGCGGAAAGAAATGCTTGTTTTCCCAAACCTGTAGAGTTTCTGTCCTTTGATGAAGTTCTGTCAATCATCCTGGCTGTGTTTTCTGTTATTGGGGCTTGTCTGGCCATCATTACAGCAGCAATTTTTTTTCATCACAGAACTACTCCAATTGTCAGAGCCAACAACTCAGAGCTGAGCTTTCTGCTCCTTTTCTCTCTGACCCTGTGTTTTTTATGTTCATTAACTTTCATTGGAGTTCCCTCTAAATGGTCTTGCATACTGCGGCACACAGCTTTTGGCATCACCTTTGTTCTCTGTATCTCCTGTGTTCTTGGAAAAACTGTAGTGGTGTTAATGGCCTTTAAAGCTACACTTCCAGGTAGTAATGCCATGAAATGGTTTGGTCCCCCACAACAAAGAATGACTGTTATGACTCTCACATTTATCCAAATTTTAATTTGTACAGTTTGGTTGATACTCAGTCCTCCTTTTCCAATGAAAAATCTAAGCACATACAAGGAGAAGATCATCCTGGAATGTGCATTAGGCTCTGCTGTTGGCTTCTGGGCTGTGCTCGGGTACATTGGTCTGCTGGCTGTTTTTTGCTTTGTGTTAGCTGTTCTAGCTCGAAAACTACCTGATAATTTTAATGAAGCCAAGCTGATAACCTTCAGCATGCTGATCTTCTGTGCAGTGTGGATCACCTTCATCCCAGCATATGTCAGCTCTCCTGGAAAATTCACTGTGGCTGTGGAGATATTTGCCATACTGGCCTCCAGTTTTGGGCTGATACTGTGCATATTTGCTCCAAAGTGTTTCATCATAATTTTTCAGCCAGAACAGAATTCAAAAAAATGTTTAATGAACAAAAATTAGTTGTAAAAATTCAGGTTTCATATTTAGAAATAAAATTAGAAGGTAACTGTGGCACATTTACTGCAAAACAATTTAAACGTCCTACATTTTTACAGAAATCTGCAGTCTTAATTGAAAAAAAGTCAAATCAATAATTGTTATACACATTTTGTGCTTTTGCATTTTTCTTTTTTTGCCATTTTTATTATGTCTTGATCAACAATCAAAATAAATTGAAAAGTACTGTATATACTATTTTATTTATTGTTTTAGTTAATTTTACCTTTTCCATTGGTATGCATAATTTCCTTCAAAAAGTTTGTTCAAGAGTGACAGTTTTATTTGTGTCAATTTTAAACCTAACTAGTTTTTTTAGCCCATTTTTTTTATGTGATGAACTTTAAATGAGTTTATCTTGCCATGGAAATGGAAATAAACTTATATAGAAACAGGTGAATTAATAAAAGATGTCTTCAAAAGTGGTCTTTGAGTTTTTTATTGTAATAAGCAGACATACGTCATACAGGATGCTTCACACAGCCTACAGGATGGTGTGTGTGTGACAAAAAGTCCAATCCAACTTTAGATCAAGCACAAAAATGGGTCAGAATGACAGTGCGCTCTGTGTTTTTTGATAACTGGGCTGAATGTTTAATGCACTCGTGTTCCATTTAGATTACTGTATTTTTCAGGCTATGCCCTGTGACTTATACACCGAAGCAACTTATTTATGTTTTTATTTTCCATATTTATAAATCTATTTTTGGCTGAGATATGACTGTTTTCATTCATTCTGAATGAAAATATTGAACACTACCATTTTCAGCTGCTAGCTTGCACTTGAGTAGTATGGCATGCCGTTGTGTCATAAAATAGGTAAAAGTGGTTATTAATGACACAGTCGGCTTGCCACAGATGCCTGGAGCAACCATCAAATCAGCTTCATTTCACTGCGCTGCCCCAGCAAAATGCAGTTAATTTGGCTATTGAAGTGTGATTATTAGTAAAAGTTCCACCGAGACAAACACCTTTGCTATAATGTCGAACAAACAAATGTTTGTTTTAGGAGCTTATCTTGTTAAAATTCGAAGAAATGCACAGCGAGTTGTCCCTCTGCACGCTCCTACTTCTTCTAATGGTTTCGAGCAAACAGTTAATTGTTTTATAGTGTTAATCTTGTTAAATTCTTGTGAAAGTCCTCCCATGCACGCTCCTGCGGCCGCCATTTGGCAGCCAATCGATTTTTGGCACAACACCGGCCCACATTTCTGGGTTGTCAGCGGTGACACGTAACAAATGCAACACGTCAATGGTGATGCATAATAGATGCGACTTAAACGGCGAAGCGACGTATTTATGGATTTTTCCACTTTATTAGACATATTTGGACTGATGCGACTTATAAGGCAGTGTGATGTGTACGGTGGAAAATACGGTAAACGTTAACCAGTTAGACAAGACCTTTCACTCATGAGATGTATTTTTCTATTTTGATAAACAGGAGATGCATGATTCATCATTATTTCACAACACCTTGAACACAGTATTTTCCTCTGAAAACAAACACATAGTATGAATTTAAATTCAAGGTAAAGTATTATATTTAAGATAAAATACAAAGTTCTCTGTGACAACCTCCAAAGGAGCACATTTAATAGTTTATAGTAATATAAATATAATAGTAATCAATTTTCCCCTTAGTGCGCTGCCCCCTCCATGGTGATCTTGGTAGTAGCTGCAATCTGTCAAGTTTAGCTCTCAGATTGGCTCTCAGATTGTTGTTCATCAGTTCTGTTTTTGAAGCCAAACCATCTCTTACATTAATAAGTTTGGTTTGGCTATAATTCACACGCTTAAAGCAAGTGAAATTGGGCTCAGAGCCAATGTCATAACAAAAAATAAATGGGTTTCCACCGGTAGCCTGAGAAGCTGCTGCTTGACTGTGCGCGACCATCTTGTATCTAAAGTATCTGGTATTTATATAGTATATGGGTGCCCAATGCATCGATCACGATCTACCGGTTGATCGCCATGGACCGGTAGATCGCAGAGATTGGTTGATTTTGTAAATTGCGGTCAGTACTCACACTTCTGGTTATGCTCATTCTGAATGAAAATATTGAGCACTACCATTTTCAGCGGCTAGATGGCACTCGAGGAGTATGGCATGCCATTGTGTCAGGTTTTTGTCTGTTTCCTTTCACTGAACTTGCAGGCCTTCTATTTGTAATGGTTTTTAGGTAACACTTTACAATAAGGTACACAAAATTTGAGTAACTACTAAGGAATGCCTCAGGAGTTAATAGGTAGTTAACCAGTACTTACTGGGGGACACACAGCCAAGCCTTATTGGGGGACTACTGGTTAGTTACCTGGGAAACAAAGAGGAACTAATCAGGAACTAATGGGTATTTAACATGGAAACCAAACAGAAACGAATCAGGAGCTAATGAGTAGTTAACCAGCACTTACTGGGGAACACACAGCCAAACCTTATTAAGGGACTAATAGTTACCTTGTAAATGAAGAGGAACTAACCAACAACTAATGGGTAGTTATAAAGGAAACTAAAGAGGAACAAATCAGGAGCTAATGGGTAATAAAATCAGCAATCATTAGGAAACAGGTTTTTGACAATTACGAGCTGTGACCTCACTGGTGCAGGGTTTATTCAGAACTCACATGGAGAATGTATCCTCTGTTTCTGTGGTAACAAACCAGTAGTCCCCTAATAAGGCTTGGCTGTGTGTTCCCCAGTAAGTACTGGTTAACTACACAGTAGTTCCTGATTTGTTCCTTATGCGTTCCCTAGTAGTTAAGCACATTTTGTGTTCCTTATTGTAAAGTGTTACTGGTGTTTATAAAATTTCAAGTTTGCTTCAGTTCCTGCTTCTTGATTGCACCTTTTCTAATAACACACATTACCAAGGCAACACAAACATTTTCAGATAAAATATACTGTATAATATCAGTTCACAACAAAAGCTAAACAAAAAAATGGCAAATTTAAATAGACTTTCTTACTGAAACAAATAAAATCAAATACAATAAATTTTAAGCAAATTAGGTTATGTTAAATATGTACAATTTAACATTAATTTTTTTTCATTCATTCAACCTTTATTTATACAGGTTAATCCCAATGAGCCTCTGGGACTCATTTACAAAAGAGACCTGATTTTTTTAATAAAAAGTGATGACAGCAGTGGACAACAAAGACAACAAAAGACAATCATAAAAGATACATACTTTTTTTTTAACAATTTAAAATAAAATGACAACTAAAAAGACAATAAAATGAAATGTAACAAAAAACAGCTAGATTATAAGGTGATGTAGAATGCTAAAAATAAATAAATATGGAAAATAAAAATATTTTTTAAACTACCACATTACACAAAAGTAAAATTACATTATGCAACACTACTACATGGTTTACATTAATCAGACAGAAATCAAAGAACAAGAACATGTGTAACACTTATCGATAATAAAAGGGATGAATTGAAAAAAAAATGTTTAGGAAAGTATTTTCATAGACACAATCAAAGATTACTTGGTAAGGGCGTTGTTTCCCTTGAAATATCACATGACGCATAAAAGAAGAGGTACATAAACTTAAAAAAACACAATTAGACCCTAGCGCCGACAGTTAAATAATGGAAATCAAATGTATCTTTATTGGCTTGGGAGTAGCTGTGGATTTATTGAAGCTGATGACAGGTGTCTTGGTTGTTTGTCTGGATGGTCTGAAACAAAGGGTTGAGCCTACAGGGGCTCTGAGTACTGCTGGTGTCAGTACTGAAACTTCATCAATGACATGTACTCTGCAGAATAACCCTCGTTTACCTGCATTCTCAATGGATGGGGACTTTGTTATTGGAGGTGTTTTCTCCATTCACTACGAAATGCACATAGTGAATAATGACTACACCACCAAGCCTGAACCTTCAAGATGTGGAGGGACGTAAGTAATAACAATAAGTGGAGGAAAGGAATGTTAGCTGTGTACACATTAAAATTATATAGGTTGCTGCAAAGTTTGCCAGCATGATAAAAAAAAAAAAATTACATTTTATTTTAAATGTTTTGTGGTGATTTTTTTTTTCCCTTACAATATGCAAGCAGAAAGTTTTAAAATACATATGTGTTTAACAAAAACTAATATTTGTTTTTGAAAAAAGGTGAAAAACAGAGAATACAAATTAAATTTGTTAAATATTCGTAGATTATCAGTAACTTTAAATATGCATAAACATATTTCAGTCATTTGTTATTTTTAGTTTAGTTTTATACACTTTGCTTGCTCTCTTTTTTTATGTTTTTTATATATGTCAGCACTCACCTTACTAATTATTTACAGCTTTATAGGCAGAGAACTACGTTTTTCTCGTGCAATGATGTTTGCCATAGAAGAGATTAACAACAGCACAGAGCTGCTGCCAGGCATCAAGCTTGGATATCAGATTTTTGACTCATGTGCTTCGGTGCCTGTGGCTGTACATATTGCATTTCAGCTATCAAATGGTCAAGACGCAGTGTTTTACAAAGGCAGCGCGTGTTCCAACACTGGTGTTGTGTTGGCAGCTGTTGGGGACTCTGCATCCACACCGTCAATCAGCATATCCCGCATCATTGGGCCCTTCAACATGCCTATGGTAAATTTTCTCACTATTTTTACAACTTAATTTCTGAAAATATAACTAATCATTGTACAAAAAAAAACAACTTTTTTTCTTATTATTATGATACTTTTATAATATAGGTGAGTTACTTTTCCACTTGTACCTGCCTGTCAGGGAAGCAGCAGCACCCAACATTTTTCAGAACAATTCCCAGTGATCAGTTCCAGGCTGACGCTCTGGTCAAGCTGGTGAAACACTTTGGATGGACTTGGATAGGTGCTGTTCGCTCTGACTCAGATTATGGAAATTATGGCATGGGCTCTTTTCTTGAAGTAGCACAGAGAGAGGGGATCTGTGTGGAGTACTCTGTGTCTTTTTCTTGGGCTGACCCACAAAGCAAGATCAGGGGAGTGGCTGACATTATCCGAAGGTTGTTATATTATCAATGTATTTTTTTCTTTTTCAAATAATGTAAAACCATTGAACAAAATGTAAACACAACTTTAATTTTTCTCATAATTTGTTTTATTTATTGTTTTTACAAAATAGTGGTAATATAATTCATAACAAAGTAAAATATATCTCAACAATTTGTTCATGACGAAAAACAAATTGCTTGTAGAAACAGCTTCGCATTTATAAGCAACAAACTTACACAGTTTTAAGTAATAGGCTGAATAAAGTATATGAATCAAAATATTTGTACTGGTAGCCACATGGCAACACTTTTTAATGTATCTAATTGTGTCTAATTTTATGATGAGATAAACAACATATATATTTTAAAATATAGTTTAAGTTTTTACCCTGCGTCTCGTACTGTGACTGCTGGATATGGGCACCAGTGAACCACATGACCCAGTAAGATGGAAGTTAATATAAAAATTAACAATTTAATGTCTCTGCAGGTCAACAGCACTGGCTGTTGTGGCTTTTACAGCCTCTGCAGAAATGAAGGTCCTGTTAGAGGAGCTCTCCCGGGAGCCCTCACCACCTCGTCAGTGGATTGGAAGTGAGGCCTGGATAACTGACCCACACTTTTTGAGGTTCACTTTCTGTGCAGGGGCCATTGGAGTTGGCATTCAGCAATCTGTGATACCAGGGCTTAGAGACTTCCTGCTGGATCTCTCTCCCACTGAAGTTGCTGCCTCCTCAGTGCTCAGTGAGTTCTGGGAGGATGCATTTAAGTGCACACTGACAAAAAGTGAGATTTTAACAATTTCACAAATACACATATTTTTCACATTTTAATTGATATTACAGGTTGGGTTCTTACCTATTGTGACACTAATATTTAATAATTGTATAAATTTGTCTTGTTTTTTTATTAATACAGTATGTATAAACTTACATCTCTGCAAAAAGAAATCAGAAGAATAAGTGCACTTCATATTTAACAAAATTGTTATTCCTTTTCTGTATTCATGTCTTTTTAGGAGCAGAACCGGACAAGAAATTATGTGATGGAACTGAAGATATAAAATCTCTTAAAAATCCATATACTGACACATCTCAGTTAAGAATTACTAACTTGGTGTACAAGGCAGTTTATGCAATCGCTCATGCCATTCATAAAGTTGTGTGTGAGGAAACAAATCTTAGCACACAGTGTGACAAACACTTCAGATTTGAGTCTAAACAGGTCCAGTAAACAATAAGTATATCTTGAGTTTTCTCTTACACATTGCAGGTCCAAGTCAACATTAACTTTAATGGCAGTGTTTTCTTTCCAATTGTGCTATTTTCTTTTAGGTGTTGTCTCAACTAAAAAAAGTCAACTTTTCTCGTAATGGTTATCCTGTTTCGTTTGATGCAAATGGGGACCCTGTGGGTTTTTATGAGCTTGTTAACTGGCAGAAGCATGAAAGTGGAGTTATTGACTTGGTAACAGTAGGATATTATGATGCATCACTGCCGAAAGGCCAGGAGTTACACATCAACAGGAACATAACCTGGGTTGAAGGTGGCACACAAGTAAAGCCATTAGTGAAAACAACTGAGCAAAATAATATAAAAATATATAGGATTTGGAAAGTAATGTGTGCTTTCAAAAATAAAAAATAAAAATAAACTGGTATTTTGATTTTGTTTCTATGACAGGTACCAGTGTCAGTGTGCTCTAAAATTTGTCCTGAAGGGACTCATAAAGTGTTGCAAAAAGGAAAACCCATCTGCTGTTTTGATTGTATACCATGTCCTGAAGGAGAGATCAGTAATGTGACAGGTAAAACAAAAATTACGTTAATATATGCATGAGGAAAAATGTGTGTGTTTACAGCATTTACTTGCTATTTTTTTTAGGTTCTCTTAATTGCGTTCTATGTTCCAGAGACTTATGGCCAAACATAGAAAGAGATGCTTGTTCTCCAAAACCTATAGAGTTTCTTTCCTTTGATGAAGTCCTGTCAACCATCCTGGCTGCATTCTCTGTTTTTGGAGCCTGTCTGGCCGTCATTACAGGAATTATATTCTTTCATCACAGAACAACTCCAATTGTCAGAGCCAACAACTCTGAGCTGAGTTTCCTGCTGCTCTTCTCTCTGACTCTGTGTTTTTTATGTTCATTAACTTTCATTGGAGCTCCCTCTGAGTGGTCCTGCATGCTGCGACACACAGCTTTTGGTATCACCTTTGTGCTCTGTATCTCCTGTGTTCTAGGGAAAACTCTAGTAGTTTTAATGGCCTTCAAAGCTACACTTCCAGGTAGTAATGTTATGAAATGGTTTGGGCCACCTCAACAAAGAATGACTGTAGTGCTTCTTACATTTATTCAAATTTTAATTTGTACTGTTTGGTTGATACTCAGTCCTCCATTTCCAATGAAAAATCTGACTACATACAAGGAGAAGATCATCTTGGAATGTGCATTAGGCTCTGCTGTTGGCTTCTGGGCTGTGCTCGGGTACATTGGACTGCTGGCTGTTTTTTGCTTTGTGTTAGCTGTTCTAGCTCGAAAACTACCTGATCATTTTAATGAAGCCAAGATGATAACCTTCAGCATGCTGATCTTCTGTGCAGTGTGGATCACCTTCATCCCAGCATATTTCAGTTCTCCTGGAAAGTTTACTGTGGCTGTGGAGATATTTGCCATTCTGGCCTCCAGCTTTGGACTGATACTGTGTATATTTGCTCCCAAGTGTTTCATCATAATATTTCAACCCGAGAAGAACACCAAGAAATATTTAATGAATAAAAGTCAAATGTAGAATATCAGATGTTAAAAACAAACATGATATTGATGGATAGAAGAATTTGTTTATTTATTTAGTTTGTATTTGTTTCAGAAATCTTTATTTCCAATTATTATCAGAATTTTTTTTAAATTGTTATTAAGATGTAATTTTGAAGTCATACATCTCCCTTTTATGTATTAGTGTATCACTGTAATATTTCTGGTACATGTTTTTCATGTAAAGATATTTATAAATATATAGTAATATAATAAAACAAATTTCAAATCAGCTGTACATTTTTTGAGATTGTGCTCAACATTTTTACTTAATTTTAACGCTTTACAAAAACTTTATAATTTCACGAAGGCACAAAGTCCAGAAAAGCAGTACCACCTGAATTGCTCTTGATTTATCTTGCCTGGATGTCACACAAATTCTACTAGTATAAAATGTTGTGGTCATATCCAAGTTAAGTCAGGTCCTCTGGACAGATTTTTCTTGTTGAAATGTTTGGTCATTTTTCCAAAAGACTTCATCAGTCTGAGGAGCTGTGATAAACTCCATCTTATAAATAGCTCCTTCTCATAGTGGATCAACCAGTTTGCTGGAGACAGCCAAAACTAGCTGTTCACATGATAAAGGAGCACCATCAGCCTAACAATTGGACATTAATGCCCTGATGGCTGCTTGCTATTCACAGAGGTCTGAGTGATACTAGCAATAACAGCATTAAGAGTGGGACAGTTGAACATCGAGGCCTCGACCTCTATTTAATGATGGATGGGTTCTCTTCACAAAGCTGGCTTACTTCACTCCTCTCTGAAACCAATGTTCCTCTCTATCATTCAACACTTGCTCTTCTCAAGGGCAGATGTCTTCTTCTCTCCCTCTCCACTTTGCTTTTGCTCTGTCCTGTCTGTGAAACGGCTTTAGAGCCTCTCTTCTACAAATCTTCCGAATCATAACTATGGACTTGGATTTGGTCAGTTGGTCGCTCAACACAATTGACAACATTTCTTTGAAGAGAAGACTTGCTTTAGGCGAGCCAATTTGCCCTGTTGGCACGCACGCAACTGGATATCTCATTGACTTGGAAGACTTGATGACGTGTCTATCTCTGCTGTCATCTGTGGATTTTAAGGATGTATTTATAATTGGATTTATGATAACTGGTTCCTGCTTTTTGGATTCGGCTGGTTCCTGGTCTATCAACAAACAAGGAAGTCATCGGCAGCAAATCTGGACCTGGTCAGGCTGCCTGCCTTATATGATGGCTTGGTTTGTGCCTCGAGCACCCAGACTCTTGGCAGAAAGGATCAGATGTCAGGGATTATTCTCAGGCACGTTCCATTGGTATGGTCATTTAATTTGTACGTTTTGAATCCAAATGGGCAGACACAAACTCAAGGTAGATGTCAATAAGGTTCTGCCTGTCCCTAAAACAATCATGTTTATCTGAATTTGGCTCCCTGACTGGCCTTGACCAGCCATCTTATCTCAACCCGCCTGGAGGTTTTGTAAACATGATGCTCTAACCCCTCCCTTCCCTCCTACTAAGGAATTTCCATGGACTTTTCAGAGGAGCCCAGCTGAATAAACATTCTGTCATCATTTCAGGACTCTGGATTCGTCTGTGGTCGTCCTCAGCACCCCCCGAATGTGCACGGATCTCTCCAGTGTAGGGTGATATGGAGCTGTTCATATATATTGGAAATTATCAGTTATGAGTTAAGCTCATAAGATATGCATTTATTATGCAAATAACCTCGTTGTGTGGGCACCACCTCTGTTTCGGAGGAAAAATCAGTCTCTCATTTAACCCCAAATTAATGTAAACTGAAATGTGAGTTCTTACTCGTGTTTAAAAGGCATCAAATCAGTTAATACACACAGATATGCCAAAATAAATCACAAATTCAGTTGATTTTATGTATTTTATTATAAAAATAATAATATGTGATATATGTGATGAAAAATTATGCATAACAAACAAATGAATAATAAATAGCTTTATATCAAAGGTCTAATTGATTATTCAAATCAGTGAAACTTAAAAAGGCAGATTTTGGACTGGTTCTGTTTGTGAAGTACTTAAAATTGTGTTTAAAGTGAGCTGTAGTTTGTCTGATAAGATTATTGTGATGTATGATCACCAGAAGTGCATTAAAGAGTCTCTCTCACCAGAACGAGATGTCAGAATGTTCCACAGCTGCGTAAAATGATACCAGCAAGGCCTGAGATGCTCCGGTGACTGAGAGGCTTATTGTCTCCTTAAAGTTTACCTATCATCAATTGGAGGGACGAAGGTCCGGCCACTGGCTCTAAAGTCAGCTGGGATTTACCACTCTGTAGTGTGATGGTTCTGGTTCGGTCAGGTTCTCTCGTCCTGAGACGTCTGCAGAAAGGCTGCTTCTCTTCTTATTTCTCTTCATACGATGTTTCTCTAGGAGGATGCGTCTTTCTCTGAAGTTTGCTCGAAGTCCAGTTGAAGTGTGTTGAGTCGTTGAGAAGAAGTAGAAGTGAAGAAGTGAAACTTACATGACTGTCTATGTGTTACAGATTGACTTTGATCCACCTCTCGGAAGAGGGATGGTCCTAACTCTTTGTCATGTTTTATAAAATCTAAAGTCCATTTTCCCTGTCTGCCTTTAAAAGTTACTCTTTCAAAAGAGACAATAAGACCAAATATATTCTTAAAGAGAGATTACTTAATACATATCCTGATGCATGCTCAATTGGATTCTCATTATGCTCATTACTTAATACACACATTTTCATGGATAAACATTCAGGTATGAAATAAAACAGAATCAATAACATGCAATGCTCATCAAAAGGTGTCGCTGTTCATCTCCTAAAAAGAAAATGTTATTAACAAAGGGTTCTTTAAAATGTGTTATCTGCATAGGAGCCCATCCTGGGAGTAATACTCCTTTTTGATAAAGGTAAAGTCTCAGCAGTGTAAGAGTACCACTGCCTGCAGCTCCTCCTCCAAGATGGCCGCTAATTAATCACACCTGCCGGCCATCAGACTGAGGAGGCTCTCCTACTACAAAAGGCTGCAGTCCAGTGCTACTCTTCGCTGGAGCATATCATCTTCCATGGTAGTTGTGCTTCAAGCCTTTTAGGCTTAGTCTCTCCAGTACTAACCTTGTTCTCTTGTTCCTAGTTATCCTGATTCCTCGGCTTGTTCAAAGGACCCCTCGTGATCCTTTGATTCCTGACTCCTCGTGTCCTGTTCTTGGTTCCTTGGATCTCCTCGTGACCTGTTCTTGGTTTGTAGACCCCCTTGGGTCCCTCCTTGGTTCAACCTCTCCTGTGTCTGGATCCCTTTTTGCCTGGTGCCTCTAATCCGGCCAGTGCCTGCCCTGCCAGCCGCTGGACTCTCTCTCTGGAGCTCCCCGGAGGATTGGAACCCACCTCTGGATCAAACTGTAAGAGATTCACAGAAAACAATCCTTCAACTATTTGGAACTCTGCCTCGTCCTGACTGTCCTCCTCTACCTCCTCCAGGAGCTGCAGAGGAGCTGTACCAGAACTGTTGTCTTTTCACTTGTAAATAAACACCGTTTCTTTTGTATTCCACCTGAGTCTGTCTCGTTCCGGGTCTCATACAAATCTGGGTTCCCCTCGGTTACGACAAGCAGTTGTTTCAAACTTCGAGGTCAGTTGAACCAAAACTCATTAAAACGATCTGTCCGTTTCATGTGAAATGAGTCCATATTGGCAGAGGTTAACACAGTGAGTTTATTTATTTTTTTAATACATTCACATTAGTGTCAACTAAGAAGTTTATGAGTTGAGTTGAACACCAGTAAAACAAAGTCTGTTTGTTGCATTTTATTTTAAACAGTTTCAAACACAAAAACACATGAATGATGTTTGTTTGAGATGAGGTGAACTCTTTCTGTTTGAGCTGAGAAGAGGTGTTCTTTTCTGAGATGGTGTTCCCCTACACCAGAGAGAACGTTATAAAATGAGTGATTGTATCTGAAATCTGCAGTGCCTCTGTGTATTGTCTCTGGCTGCAAACTGCCCTTGCATCCGTCTCTGAGGCCAAATGGGGAGTAAGATTCAGATAAGCTTTGATTGTTGATTTACTTCAGGCAGACTGATTTATTTTCATCAGCCTTCAGTCCTTCTGGAACTTTCTGGTTCAAAATGGCCTGGTTGTGGGAATTCTATCCACTGACCATGTTATGAGCCTCCTTCAAAGTCGCTCCCACCACGCTGACGAGTCCCAGAAGCCGCAGGTGGCCTGCGATTCTCAGAAATCACCTCCACTTTACGATTTAGCTCATAAATCAGCTGATTTTGAATACTTACAGCACAAACCAAACCTTCATACTGACTCGGAAGCTTTGTCATGGTCGAAACTGTTGCCGATGTCAACAAAACGTCTAAACATCTTCACCATCCTCCTGAGACAGGACTGAGAGGCACATCAACTGCCACACTCCCCACAGATCCTTGACGTACCCCACAGCATGAGTCTCAGCTGGACAAGCGGGTTCTCCAGGACCTTGTTCTTTTGCTGTAAAGATTTTGTTGATCGCGTTGAAAGTCCAGGTCACCCGATCCATAATCTTATTTTATGTTCGGGAGATGTGTACCAGGCACTTCAGACAGACATAGAGTGAAGCAGGAGGAAGGAAAAATGGGGGAGGGAAAGCAGAAGCAGCCACCTCTAGTGAGAGACAGTCAGAAAAAAAAAGTCAGCCAGTGGCTGTTTAGTTTCAATCAATAAAACAATCAATAAATCACTCAGAATAACTTTATTGTCCATAACATTTCATGAGATGGAGATTTATATTTGACATCTGGCTCATACATTGAAAACAACACAAGTTAAACATGCCATAAAACTTTAAAATGCTTTGCTAACCCAACAAAACCAATTCTAAAATACATGATACATTAAAAACATAAAAGCATCTTAGCAGACAATGGTTAGTCATGTGAGGCTACATTTAAATAGGACCCTAGTAAGGACACTGACAGCAGATGGAACAAATTACTTTTTGTACCTCTTT